TTTATGTAAAAAGAAAAAAAAGAGGAAAATGTCTTTCATAATGTCACTCAAATAAGGAAATTTGTAGATTTTGAAATACTTAAACACTACAGGAAAACTAATTAAAATTTATGTAATTCTGATTTACATGTTTAGATTTTTATAATCTACAGAATTTAAATACATAGAAGAATTTATTTTAAGTATATACTGTTTATAAATATATATATATATATAAAAAAAAGGTCAACATCATCAATAAATCAGTAATAATCTTACTATTTATTGATCATTTTAAAATAAAGAAATAAATTCAATATAGAAATTTAGTTTGTTTTTGACTTATTTAATCACAATCAGATTTTTATCATTATATATAAATAGAAATTTTCTGTAAATAATGTATAAAATGCTAGTTACTTAATTAATAAAACTTGAACTTTATGTTGTGTGTAGTAAAGGAAAGTTAATGCTAAATTCTTACAGTAAGGCTTTTCTGATGTGTTGGAGTCTGGAAAATATAATTTTATATAAATAGTAATTAAACTTATTTGTTTTGGTACTGTGTGTGACATTTTGCAATTTTTAAAGCAGTTAATGTATTTTTTTAGAGCAATTTCGTGGCTGGTTGTAGAAAATGTGCATGTATTAAATTGTCATTTACACTGATAAAAAATACTACAAAAGGAAGATAAAATCTCTTTTAGACCCATCACTATATTTTCAGCCATGCTAAAAGTATTTGAGATCAGTTTATATCAAAAAATGTATCTGCCAATAACCTCTAAACTATATCCCATTCAACTTTGTGGAATCTATCGTCATTCAACACAGGCTAATGTTCTCAAAACTATCTTTACAGTTCATGAAAACTTTGAAAACAGAAATAAACAAGATGGATGTTTTTTTATCTCACAGGCTTTTGACTCCACACTCCCTAACATCCTTTTACATGTTTTACATGATTATTTTGATATCAACTCGGCTTTCCACTCATGGATAAACTACTACTGTTTATCAAGACTTTGTAATGTAACTAAATGTCCTTTAATTCATAAATTTTTTCCCCAATAAGTGGCATTTACAAGGATCAATATTAAGTGGGTTGTTATTTTTTGTTTATATTAATAATTTATTTACCAGCATTAATTCTAAAGTAAATGCTTATGCTGCTGATATTAAACCTTACAACCATGACCCTAATCTCTTACAAAATCTTAACACCTTATCTATTGCTTTCAACAATGTACACCTAAGAATTAATATTCATTAAACTGTTGCATCTTTTCTTTAGTTCACAATCTGTCTCTTTCTCCTTTTAAAATCTATACACAAACTATAAAATATATAAATTCATTTAGTGATTTTAGGGATGGTTTTTGACAATAAACTGATCATTAAATGTCATGTCGAAAAGTTCGCTAAATCACTTACAATTCGTTGTGGCATTTCATTTCTTCGAGTTGATTTTAAGGTCTATTTTTTTCCAAATTTTCAGTTGGTAATTGATTACTGTTTATCGGTATGACAATGACTGCCCCTTCTCAACTCAACAAAGTTATAAGAGAAATAAATATAGTCTACCTTTTACTAAATAAATTTAGTAATACACCTTTCCCTCAGAACCTTAATGTTGCTAAGGTTAGACTTGGTTTACCTGATGTTAAAGAAAGAATTAAATACTTTGTGTTCTAACTGTTAATTATTATAATGAATTTTTAAAAATTATTGGTGTAAATTAAAAGTTTCATCTAGGCAAACTCATCCTGTAATTTGTTTACATAGTCCTTTCTACTATCTATCATTATCTCAAACATCATATTTTTTATCGCTGCATAGAACATATGTCTCCATTTGAAAATTATCTCTATCTTAATTTTACAAAAGTACAAATGAATTTGTCAATGTGTTTTTATATAATGTGTAATTAATCTTTTTTATGTAATATTGTCATATTTTATTGTTTACATCTTTTTATGTACTTTTGTTTTATTTTTACGTTTTTAAATGTTTAAGCATGTGCATCTTATAATATAATCGAGATGGGTTATGATGATATTGTTATCGTTATTATTTCACTGTTAAATTTCTCTAATTACGAAAATTTCCCAAATGCAGAAAGAAATGCATCAGTGGAATCAGATGTACTGTTTCTTATGTGACAAAGTTTGTTTTTGAATTTTTTTTTCATGTGCACGTATTTAAGAAAAGTTAATATTAATGCTAGATATATGATGATAAATCTTATATCAAATATACTAATATATTGAAATTACATTTTATTGGAATTCACTCATAAGTTAAGTTCTCCCAGAATCTGATAGTTACTTTTTGCTTACCTTGTTATCTCTTACATTGTTTTTAAAACTTCCTGAAGAAGAAAACTAATATGTAAGCTATGCTTAACTTAAGGTTTTTATTTATTTGATTTAAATTAGAGAAGTTAGGGATATGCATTTTAGGCTTTTATAAAGGGCTAAAGAATGGACTGAAAAGCCTGAAATACATATCCCTAACTCCTGTAATTTAAAAAATAAAAAAAAATCTTGAATTGAGTGTAGCTTCCTGAACAAAAGAATTAATATAAGTTCTCTAAAACATTGATAATTTCTTCTTATGTTTGGAAATCGATAATAGCAATTAAGAAAGCCAAAAAATGTTTGTTCGAAAAAATGCAATGTATTAAAAGTTACGCATGATTTTGAACTTCTGATGAGCTTTCATGCATTAAATTTTAATATTATAATTAATAATAGTTTTCCCTTCTCATAGTATATGTGTTCATATTAAAGAATGTTTTCCTTGTTTTAATATATTAATTTGAGATTGTGTTGTAATTAGTAAAAGAAAAAAGTTTTTTTTTAATGTTCTATGTTTTATACAAGACTGAAGCAATGAAAGGTTTTTTTTAAGAGTTTGTGAGAATTAAACTAAGTCAAAGGTGTAATGTAGATATCATGGTTTTTTTTCATTTGCTTTACATTTTTCTTGTATTCAAAATATTTTTTAATAAGTACATTAAATTCATTGTTATAAAAAGTAGGAAGAAATTGCTTCTTCCTACTTTTCCCATGCTGTTCCAATATTTAATGTATAAGTAAAATATCTTCTAAACTATTTTAAAAAGTTTTATATGATCGTTGAATAATGATATGAAATAAACACAGTGAGCAGTAAATCATGCTAATATAAAGTAACAAAATAATTCATAATTAAAATTTCTCACTCATAACACGATTAAAGGGGTCCAGGAAAGCTTTTTTTTAATTGGTAAGAAGTGTTCTTGAACACTTCAAAAATTTAAGTTTTAAATTTAGTGAATAAACTTAACAAAAAATCTGAATGAAGGTGGTGTTCTTTTTTTTTGGTTTTAAAGGCCTGATGAAATGTTAGTGTTCTTGAACATTATTTTTACCATGACATTCAGTTGGTCTGCAAATGGAAAATAACTGTTCCAAAAAAATTTCTAATCAAGTAAAAAGCTTTCCACATGGATCCTTTATGTTACAAATGAGTAGTTTTATTTTTTAAACTATTAAATGGAGTCATTTAACAAGGTCTTGTGTTTGTATCATAATGCGTAATATTTGCTTACAGAAAGTAAATTTATTTGAATAACAATAAAACTGGTTTATTTACAGTTATGCATTATTATTGAACTAGTTTAACACAAATATATTTTAAAACGGTTTAGGATAAATAACAGCTTATTGTTTCTACGTATAATGGTCTTCCTACTATTAAGGATTTATAATAAATTAAGTGGACTATAATTATTTTCACTTTAGGATGTTCAGTTCAAAAGTTCAGGTGGATATATGGATATGCATGCTTAAACAATCTATTACTATTTTTGTAGTCATATTAACACATTTACTTCTTCAAAGTTATTCCTTTTTACTGGTTTTGGTGTGTGTTTTCATTTTTATGAAATTAAAAGTAAATTCTGCTTTTGTATTTTTGAAGTATTGCTTTTTATTTAATCAAGGTCATGTGTTTAAATTTTTTGACAAAATTTATGATTAAAAAATTTCCAATTTGAATTAACAATTCCTTTTTCATTGTTTTGCAGTTAAAAAAAACAAAGTTCTTTGATTATTATGTGAAAAATACATGAGAATATATTAAAGAAGGGCAGATAATCTTTTAAAAATGTTTTACTTTGAATTATTTTAAATATACCAAGAGATTTTTTTATCATTGATGTTCAGATAACCAAGCTCTACGGAATATAATAGACAGTAATGGACAAATTCAACATATAATGGCATATCTGAAAATGATAAACTTATTTACAGAACTGTAGGACATACAACAGAGCAACTATGACATATTAAAAGACCCTAAAGGATATAAAAGACTGTTGCCCAGATATGGCACTCTTTGGCCTACTTAGACCTTTGTGCACAAAATCCCAAATCCAATCACTGATGTGGTAATTAAACATCGCAGGATTTTTTTTAGATTTATTAATTTAACTAGTTATATGAGGACTGATTGGTAAATAGATCTCAATATTTATAAAATTAGTTTGGTAAGAGATTGACTAGTTTAACCAGAGATTTTAAAACTTGATTGCTTGCTGGTCTCTCAATTAGTTATGTTCTTCATAACTTAGTATAAAGTTTTATTGAGAACAAATCATACAAGAACACTCCTTTTGATGGAAAAAAGTTTTTAAGTGTTTGTTGAAAGGAAGGAAGATGGGATAGACACTGATAGAGTAGCAGTGTCTATCTTTCCCACCTTCTTTCCAACACTGGCATTCCATATTAGACTCTCCATGTCTGAAGATGTCCTGTTAATCAAGTTAAAAATATTAGCATTATTTAATCTTCACCTATTGTTAAAGGTGCATTAAGTCAGCTAACCACAGTGTGGTTAGTTTATCTTTATTTTAAATTTCTTTTTATACATTATATTTAGAGCTTTATGTATGATTTCTAGAAGAATTGTTATAATTTCTTGCAGCAAAGATTCAGTACAAAATTTATTAACAATTTATTTATTTGTTTTTTCAGCAAGCTCGACCACCCTATAATGCCAAGACTCGAACATCTTGTGCAACTGTGTCCTCTGGTGGCACCCCCACTGCCAACCCATATCGAACTCAAGGGTGCTTAAATCCATATATAACTCGTTACCCTACTCCATTGGCTGCACCACCATATGGAAGTTATCCTCAACCTGCTGTAAGTAATCTTATGTTACCTATTAGTAAAGTTACATTGATGATGATAAAGTTCACATTATGTTAGTTTGGTATGAATAAAATTTATATGACTTACATGATCTAAGAAACAATATTATAATTATTAGAGAGTTAACTGATCTGAAAAATATATTGAATTATGGATAAACGATTTCTGTTATACTCCTCATAGTGTTCTGGTTATTAATATTTATGTATTGTGTGCTTTAAGTTTGTTTTGGTTTTCTCATCTCATTAATATCCATATAGCTCAATAACACTTACACATTTATTACTGTAATTTGTGTATATTTATCTTATTTTTTAAAATATAAGAATCTTTAACAAACTATAACAAAACTATAATTGTAAGTATCTGTCCTTGTTAAAAGTTACTATTGCCATTCCTGTAAGTCAATGGTTGACCTTTCTATAATAAAATAGTTATTGAAAAATAAAATTAAGCTATTAACAGATTATATAATATTCAGACATGAAATTCCAGTTTTGTCAAATGTCGTCGGTTGCAATTTTTTATGTTAATTATGCAATACTATTCAAAATTTATATTCTTTGGAAATTGTTTTGAATGTAAAATATTTTAAAAACTAGTTTTGAATTCTATTCTAGCACATGTATTAAGTATATTCAGAATATACTTAATACATATAATTTATATTTTCTGTTTTTTTTAAAGTGTTACGTTTTTACTTTCCTGGCTGTTATATACAACAGAGGAAAGTGTGGTGATTGGGCATAAAATGACTCTTTTAATGATTTTTATGTTTTTGGACTCTGGACCTTGAAATGTCCAGAAATTCAAAAAAGTTGTGTTTTGTGGATGGGTGGGGGCACAATTTTGTTAACTCTCTTTGAAACTTAATAACTTCTGGGACTTTTGTCGAAAATTTCTGAAATTTTGCAGAGAGGTTTGTGTATTAGCTACATCAATGCTATTAACATTTGGTGGTTAAAGATTGAGGGGTAGAGAGAGAGAGAGAGACGTCATGTGTTATATCTCAAATGAGGTTGGACTTAATGAAGATTTTACTTGTTATTAGTCTTTATAATATATTATAAAATTCATTTTTGCCCTCAAAATTAAGCATTTTGTCATTTTATAATAAATAATAATACAAAAAATTTTTAATAAAACCTCATAAAAGATGATGCCTCACATTTAAGTTTTTTGCCGGGAAAGCTGCGCAACTTATTGCTGAATCTTTTGGATTTTACAGATAAACAGATGATTACAGACATAAATTTGATTTAATGGATTTTAATTAATCTATGTATAGAGATTTTCTCTTAATTATTTACAAAGATTTTTAAAATGTTTGTTTTTTTTTCTATCATGCTTACAAAATTATTTAGTTAAACCCATCAGGGAAATTCCTGTTTCTTACATAAGTCTATTGCTATCTTTAACTGTTTATCTATATTAGCATCTCTTATCTCTGTGAATTTGCTAACCACTCTCCTTCTTTATCAATCTTTCGTTATTGCATCTAATGGTCTTAACAAACTTTCTATGTTTCCTAGTCTCTCTCTCTGCAAAGGAAAGATGAACTTGGTAATATAAAAATATGTTCAGATTATTTGATACCATAAAAAGAGAATGATTAACATAGTAACCAATTAGAAAACTTATGATTTTATTGAGTTTTATATACATATTTGAGAGATATTTGCTCTGTGAACATTAAAATTGTTATTAAACAATAGTTTTATTATTCATAATAATGTAAAAGGATTTTAGAAAAAATATGTTTGAACTGTTTTTAGATTTGTGATTGTCTTCATGGAATATTTAACAGGATTTTTTTTTATTTTGAATAACTTCAATCTTAGTTTGACAAAATTAAATGCATGAAAAAGCTTGCATTATCATCGGTACAAGACAGTGTTTTCCAGAATAGCTGAAAATTACTTGAAAAATTGCTTTAATAAAGCCAGTATAGCTGATATTATCTTAAGTATTTGTTATGTAGATTAATTTTCAACATATAATGTTCGAATATAGTTTTATTTTACTGTGATACCTTAACTAAATCACAAAAAAATGTACATGAAATATAAAAGAGAAAACTATAGTTCTATACACAGTAATTTATAAAATGGCATAAAATATGACAAATGAATGGAATTATAAAAATTACAAAGTTTAGAAAGTTTTAGTAAGCTCTTTTAATGTATATTTTTTATTAATTTATTAAACTTTTTCAATTTTTTTTTTTCTGAGTCATCAAGCATTTAAGGATTTAGTAACATTTATGGATGCTAACATATTCTTTCTCATCTGTTGTTGTGATAATAGTCATTAAGTAAAACTCCCTTTAGAATTAGCTTAATTCATATTTACATTATTTTTCTTATAACCAAAATTAAATTATTTTTTTTATTGAAATATTTATAATACTGTAGAATATATAAAAGTTTTCTTCATTAAGTTTCAGAAAAAAATTTAATCATTTGTAACAGGTAAAAACACCTCTAACACTGCTTTTATAACTAAAGCAGTGTAGTGGTCTAACTTATATAAACTTTGTATACCAAAGATTAAAATACTAAAGATGCATGCAACAGCATGAAATAGTGTTAGATGAATTCATTTCTTTATTCTAAAAGCAATATTTATAGAGATATTGAATTGCCATTAACAGCTTTCTGTGTAGCATATATATACATCAAATTTGTCAGAAAATCTCAATTTACCATGAAAAATTAATTCATGGGTTGGTCCTGACAATGTGGTCTATAATGGAGAGAGAGAATTTTACATAGCTACTGACTAAACAAATGAAACTCTGTGCATTCCCACATTCATAATACTAACATGGAATGGCATTAATATTCTGGGATTCATAAGGAAAGCCTTAAAATTAGTCTATGATTAATACAAGAAACAGAAAAAAAGATGAAAGAATAGTTTTTGATGTATTATTCAGAAGTAAATTACTTTAAAATTATATAGTAGAATGCATGATTTATGGCAGGATTACTTCAAAGTTGTTTAGTTATTTTTTTGATATTACCATTTTAAAGTTTTATTTTCAGTTATTAACTACAGAAAATACTTATTTATTTACTTTTGATTCTCAGACATTGCATGGTAACTTTAAAATGATTTTCAAATTTATAGCCAAAGCTGTTATCGTAGTAAATGAACATTGTAATTAGGTTATATTTTTGTGTTTATTATTAATGCTGCTTTGATGTTACTGTTATATACTGTTGATATATTTGTTTATCCTAAAAATCAATGGTGATGCTTGAGAGAGAAACGCTCCTAAGCAATCATAATTCGTAAAGTACAAAAGAAATATCAGATAAAAACAGCTTTAAAAATGATTGGTATATTTTGGTGATGCTTGCTTATAACTAGTTTGGTAAGGAAATTATATTATAAATGAAATTTTATATTACATTAATATATATATAAACTTTTCCTACTCTAAAAATTCTTTTATTATGGATTAGTTAGGTTCAGGTGCATTTAGACTACTGATTCTACTTGCACAATAACAATAACTCTCATTAGCAAAATATTTGTCTGAAACACTGTGTGTGTGTGTGTGTGTGTGTGTGTGTGTGTGTTTCCTTTTTTGAGAATAATTTTCTCCATTTCCTTCATTAAATTGATCCTAATTTGCTTTTTGTTCATTCTATCCATTTGATAATTCCTCCTCCTTTCTGTCAAAAGTGTTACTCCAACTGATACAGTTTTATTTGATTAAACTTTGATTTTAAAATTTGTGTATTCACCTAAATATAGTTAGATAAGATTTGATAAAACTGTTGAAAGTTGGGTAAGGTTACAAATTATTTTGCTTAGAGTATTTAAAATTCTTTCAAAACTTTTTTTAAACAATAAACAAGTTTTAGAATATACTTTATATAAATTTATATGTATTAATAATTGTTCATTAATTAATAGAAGCAGTTATACATATCATCTATCATGTTTATGTGCCAAATCAATTTAGATCTTAAAACATGAAAATTTACTTTGTTAGAGCTCACTCTAAATATCACTTTTACCAAGCACTTTTGGGCTTGTAGCTTAGAAAAACTATTTAGCATAATTTTCAACAAAGCATATTTTTGTTATGTTTTAAAGGAATTAGGATTCTCTGACGTTTAGTATGAATTGCACACATGCAATTCATACTTTCGGAAAATCTTGTACAGCAGCATTAAAAAACTTTAATAAACTAACATTTTGAATCATATTCATTGACATTTATTAATGTTTTTATTTTTCATTTGAGGTTTTCTGACATTTACTATCTATTAAAGCAGTTATTTAGTGTTTGCAATTCATTTTAGTATGATGTAAATGCATGTAATTATTTATTAATTTTATTGAATATTCTTATGAATAGCTAAAATATTTCATCATGCTTTTGTGATTTTCTAAGAAATAATGAAATAATATTTTGTAAACACTCTTCATAATGTTTGGATTTGTTTACATGAAGACAATTAAATTATATTTTTATACATCAGTATTATATGTAATGTTATGAAATTTGTTCTGATTGATTTTATCATTGGCTATTACTTGCTAGCGTAATTATTCATATTTGAATGATCAAATAAATCCCAAATCTTAAAATTTGGCATTTGAAGCAAAACTAGTTATTAATACTTTTGACAGAGGAAGAGTCCATCATCATCTTCATTAGTTGATAATGACTTCCTTCAGAGATAAATTCTTTCATCTCTTATCAAAACAATATTTGTGCAATTAAGGTTACTAAAATTTTGAACATTAACTTGATGTTTTTCAAATTATAGTCTCACAATTTTAACAAAAAAATAATAATTTTCAATGCTTTAATACTGTACTCATGAGAAATAATAGAATTTGTTAAATTATTGTTCTGTAGATTTACTTTTTGACATTTAACCTTCCGTTACCCACATAGTGTCTGTCAAATAACACGACCTCTAATTTTCTCTAATTTTAAATTATGCAAGCATGAAGAGTACTGCACT